AGGATACAAGAGCAGGGACAGAGTGAAACGTGAATTGCAAAATACTTTAATATTTGTATTTAAATAATAATAATAATTAAATAGTATTGTTCCATTGTCCCACAGCAAGTTGGCGAGTTGTCCCCTTCCACTCCCAAGGACACGGCAGGACTCTGAACGCGGCTGCGCTGGTCTCCCTTTTGAAGCTCCATCGTTCGTGAGGGTCCCAACCCGCCTCTGGCAGAGCCATAAACACCGCGGGGGAAGACCAGGCTGGGCACAGGGAGGTGTGGTGGTGCCACAGACGGCGCTTTCCATTCTGTGCAAGGAAGAGGGCTGTCCTCTCTTGCACGAGTCGCTGCGTAGAGCAAAATGAGACGTGTCTTCCAGGCGTGGCAGACTTGGAGAGCAAAGGGTGAATGCTTGGAGGAAGCTGCTCCGGACAGATTGAAAAGGGACGTCCACCTCAAAACTGGGACTCGGAAAGCCTGTGTAAATTCTAGGGTAACATTATTTTGGACCCGATCTGGAACCTTTGATGTTTTAGACCATTTTCCATGCCATGTTCAGAGAGCGGGAACCGTACAAATGCCTTGTGAGACCTTACGCCATGCACAGGCTTGGAGTAATGAAGGGGGAGCTCAGAAGGTCCACTGCCTAGCTTGTTTCTCCTGGCAGAAGAGAGCCAGCACGTCCGGTTTGGGCATAGGTAGGAAGCTCATTCTGTGTCATGCCTCCTTCTGCCACTAGAGGCTCCCAAGAGCTGCAGATATTTCCCTCCAGCCCTCCCTAGTGCCCTCTCCTGGTAAGAAACCACAAGACCTAAAATGTGGCTGCTGACACTTTTGTTTCACACGCACCCCATACGTCCCCTTGTATCACTAGGTCGGAGGCGGGGGCGGGCATTTGTACACTCCTAGATTGGCCAGCGAGGCCTGTGCAGCTGAGCCATGAAATTAACTGCCCTGCCCAGAGGCCTCGCTTGTCGAAAAAGGGAGGAAAAGTGTGCCCCACCTGAGCCTGCATGCTGCAGCGCTACGGATCCTTTGCTGTGGACTGCAATGCAGCTCTGATTTGCATACACCGTATATCTGAATGCTGATCAGATTATGTTGGGGATCACTTTGAAGGCGCAGACCCCAGCACAAGCAGCCTCCCCGCTTCCTCTCCATGCCTGCCCAGGGGGGGGGGGGAAAACCCAGGCTTCCTTGCCTTCCTGGCGCTTTTATTAATTTTGGAGTCATTGCAGAAACAGGCAGAGGCTTTGGCACGGCTGCAGGTGGAATGAGTGGCAGGGGAGGAAAAGTGGGCTGGGATGGAATTATTGTCGGCTTGACTTTGGGCTGTGATCCATACGCTCCGAGATTAAACCCCCTCGCCTGCATTCTTTAAGTGGGCATCTCTTAGCAGAAGATGCCCTCTCCAGACCCCCCTGCCTGCAGCACAGCCTTCCGTGCCAGGGTGGGTTCCCTGCAGCGGCGCCAGAGGCTGGAGGGGGGGCACAGGAGTGTCAGTGGGTTGGGTTCCCAAGGAAGTGTGTAAAGGGGGTGGCACCACGCCCTATTCACACCTTGCAAGGGTTCTCAGACCTGCTGGTGGTTTGGTGGAAAAGGATTTCCTGCCACTGGAAGGAGCTAACAACCGGGCGAGTTTCCACGCGGGGGAAACTGAGGCCTCAGAAGGGGGCTGGTGGGGGGTTTCTAAAGGGAGAGAAAAGCCAAGGATTCCCATGGTGGAAAAGTGCATCTTGAGTTGCTTCTGCTTCTTCCTAACTATCCGTTTATGGTCTGCAGTAAAATAACTCTAAAATGTTATAAATGCATATTCCAGACTCACCGGGGGGGGGGGGAATACCCCTTTCACTAGAAGCCAGAATTAAAGTGGTTTTGGAAGAATTTCTTTTTTTCTTTCTTTCTTTCTTTTACTGACATAAATTGGTGTTTGTGTTCCTCTAACTGAGGGGATCTTTGATGAAAGTTTTTTTCATTGCTGCCGATAACTCTGGAAGATGTTATTAGCATCTGTGGGATCTTAAGGCCTGCTGCGCTAGAGAGCCACGCGCAACAAATCCATCCTTCCCTGGATTAGTAAAAGGATGTGCAGTCAGAAGAGGCAGGTCCTTGTAAGAAAGGGGGAGGGGCTCTCGTCTTGACTTTCTCCACCCCCACCCTTGAGCTAGGGCATGCCAGGTAGTGGTATAGGTTGCAGCCACTCCCAAGCCTATGGACTGTGTCAAATAAGGAGGGACTTCACACGGCAGCATTGTGATGGCTTCCCTTTTTGGTGGCTATGATAAATGCTGCACCAAGCTCAAGTGGCCGCTTGTGGTCCAAAGAATGGAGCTCATCTTAGGGACTAACAGCTTAAAGTTCTAAATCGTTTCCTTGCATAGGAAGAAACACCCACGGAGGTTTTGAAGAGGTAACTTCTAGACTAGGTATCATCTTCCGAATTCTAGGAAGAGATAGCACCAGATTAAAATGTTTACAGGAAATGTTGCTGGTGGGTTACAGCTGAATGGCTCCATGGTTGACCATTGGCAGCACCTGTTAAGGGTGGGAAGTTCCTGGAAAGTTCTGGCTACTGGAGATGACAACCCTCAAGAATCAGCCGTCTTCTGAAATGATATTCCTCTGGGTAGACTTCTCGAGGGATGTCCCATCTTCATATTCTTCTGCTATTAGAAAAAGGCTTTCCTTGGATATTTTGAGGATCTCTCTCTCTCTGTCTCTCTCTCTCTCTCTCTCTCTCTGTCTTTCTCTCTCTCTCTTTCTCTCTCTCTCTCTGTCTCTCTCTCTCTCTCTTTCTCTCTCTCTCTGTCTCTCTCTGTCTCTCTCTCTCTCTCTTTCTCTCTCTCTCTCTGTCTCTCTCTCTCTCTCTTTCTCTCTCTCTCTCTGTCTCTCTCTGTCTCTCTCTCTGTGTGTGTCTCTCTCTCTCCTCTCTCTCTCTCTCATTTTCTTTCTCTCTCTGTCTCTGTCTCTGCCTCTCTGCCTCTCTCTCTCTCCTCTCTCTCTCTCTCTCATTTTCTTTCTCTCTCTCTCTCTCTCTCATTTTGGTTTCTCTGCTATTGATTTTAATGTATTTTTGAAAATAGTTATTGGCTTTTGTTGTGTTTTATGATGTCCTACTTTTAAAATCATTGCGTAAGCCGTCCTAAGAAAGTCCATCAAGGCGAATGTCTCACAATCAATGGGGGTAAATCTCTTCATCCAAGTAGGGGAGGTGGAGGGAGGGAGAAATGTCTTATTAAGACTTAAACCTGCTCCCCCCTCCCCGCGTTCGGCTATTTGGGATGCAACACTTCTGCTATTAAAATGAATTGAAGTCACACGGTAGAATGGCGGCAGTTTGTTAAAATAACCCGAATCAAATTAAGCCCTTGGAGAATGGATTCTTCCTGCAACGTTCCTGGCTACAAGCCAGCATGGGGCCTGAGAATTTTGCTCCGACACCATGCAACAGCAGGAAAACTAATGTAATTACTTGTAGCTTCGTGTCCACCTGAGTAGGGAAAGTCTTCCTGGGAAGCTGACTGACAAATTGACATGCTTGACAAGTAACCTCTGAAATGCCACCTCTCCTTCCAAGGAGATTTGGTGTCCCTCCACATTCAGTCATGGCCTGGGGAAAGAAGGTGGGTTTGGAAGTCTCGAGGATGGAGGTTCGTCCTCCGAGCTTGTGGTTGGCTTCCGAATGTTTCGTTACCAGGCTAAGCAACGCCTTCAGCAGAATTTAGGGAACGTCACGTCCTCCTGCTTATAAGGGCTTTGTGTGGTCAGTAGGACTTGTGATGCGGGGCAAGGTCACGTCAGGTGAGGGTCATTGGGAAGTGAAGTGCTGGGGGGGGTGTTGTGTGGGTTGGTTGAGGTCAGGGCTATCGCTGGTTGATTTGAATTCTGAGGGACTCGTAGGATGGTTTAGGTCTAGGTGTCCATGGATGGAATCGCTTGGGGAATATGCCAGGCTTCAATAAGCTCGCCAGCATGTCGGATGTCCAAATGTCTTCTCTCAGTTCTATCGTCCTTTTCCCAGAAGCATGTTCCGTCCTCCGATTCACACAAACAATATTTCCCTTTGCTTAGGTGCAAGGAGGAAGAATCCCACCAGGGGCCTTTTTCAGGAGTGGTGCGCCTGTCCCCACTGAAAGGAAACCCTTCCTTTGGAAAAGGACCGTAGGCGTTCTCCTTCTGGAAAAGGTGTTCACCCAGTTTCTCTTCCCCTCCCCCACCCTGAATATGGAGAGCTTTTAAAGGATGAGGAAAGACAGTTTCAATGTTAATGTTGCTTCGAGCCCAAGTTTCTGCTGCCCAGATCTCCACTTGCACCTGAGAAGGGAGCTTGAGTATCCAGGTGGAGGCAGGCTACGTCCTTCCTGACTGTACCTCCTTCTGGTGTCTCTTTTCCTCCGCTGAGCAAACTTTCAGTGGTTCTTCCAGGTCATTGTATTAGCATTGGGAGCCTCTTGTTTATTTTTTTTTCCAAGCTGCTCTGACTGCTTTTTAAGTAGCAAAGTGGGAAACGAATATTTTAAATGAATAAATAATTGTGCTTTATTTAAATTTTGTGTACATGCATTGTAAGCCACTTTAGGGGACACCCTGTCTCACAGAAACACAAATCTTCAACATGTGACTAAGTGAGAGGCAGGCTCCTGCCTTCTCTGCCATTTTTTCTCACAGAGTAGAACAATATCAGGATGGGTTTTTTTAAAAAAAACAAAGAACAGGAAGATAGAATTATCCATCAGCTAGCATTTTTGAAATTAGACCTGTAGACTAGTCAGTCTGTTTTGGAGTTTAGAGAACTAGACGCATTAAGTGAGGGCACCTGCATGACTGCCAGTGACCCAGTGGTCCAATCTCTCTCTCTAAGAGATTTCCACCAAAAGCACAGAAGCCACCACATGGAGTTCCATCAAGGTTTTATTCAGCTGTTGATGTCAAAGGAGCCCTTTTGTGCAGGCCAGAGTTCAATGTCTAGGAGATGTCCTCACTTGTGTCATCCTGACCAGTGGAATCTTTTCACCCTTGCTTGTCTTCTTCAGGGACACTGTCGTGGTCGCCATCGGCCCCATTCCCCACCACTTCAATTCCTAAGTCATGTGGCGCTTCTTCCGGAAAACCATTGAGTTGCTTCCAGATGGAATACTTGGCATCCCAAAGAGCTTCCACCATGTCCCACATTCTGCTTTTTTCTTCTTGGAGAGCCTGGTCGTTGTCCCGGAGAGCGATGTATTCATTCCAAAGGCTCATTTTGTCCCTGGAGATGGCCATGTCTTCTTCCCAAAAGTTCTTGTCCTTCTTCCAGAAGGCTTTGCATTCCTTCCAAAAGGCCTTATTCTTCTCTTCCACCGTTTCCATCTTTTCCTGCAGGGCTTTGTTCTTCTCACGCATCCCCTTGTTCGCCTCCTGGATCTCCTTGTTCTTCAACTGAAAAGCCTTGATGACATTACGGAAGGATTCGTTTCTTTCTTCCAAGGAGGACATCTCCTCCTCTGCTCCTTTGATCTTCTCCTGGAAAATTTCTACCTTCTCCTGAAAGACTCTCACCTTCTCTCGGACATCTGACTTTTGGGTTTGAAACAGCTTCACCTCTTCCATGAAAACCCAGTTCTCTTCCAAGAAGTCTTTGATCTGATCCAAGAAAGACTTGTTCTTGTGCTTGAAAACATGGATGTCTCCCCATAAAGCTTTGATCTTGTTGTCTTCTTGGAAGCCCCTGATCTCCCCTCTCAGTTCCCTGCACCTCTCCCAGAGCTCCCTGATCTCTTCTTGCAGGCCCTTTTTCTCCTCCTTCAGATTGCGTTGGACCATCTCCTTCTGCAGGGCTGGGAAGGGGGCCGCATGGTGCCAGCTCTCCTTGTGGCCAGAGGATGGGGAAGGGGCAGTGGGGCTGCCGTCACAGGACTCTGCATGACTCGGAGACAAGTCCAGCTTCTTCTTCCTGTTATCCATTGGACCAAAGCTAGAAGCAGGGAAAGAAAAGGGAGTTAAAGGGAGATTTCAAACTTCCTGTCAGTAGGTGGGGCCTTTGTGAAATTTGGAGAACTTTTAGAGAGAGGACTCGCCCACCTTCTCTAGGACTGCAGGTGAGGTGAAGAAACTAGAAAGGAGGCTTTTGCCTCTATTTGGAATATTGTAAGAGAAAATATGGATCGCCTGCTATGCTCCTCATCCACCCACCTCCGGCTTTCTTAGAGACCCCGACCCTAATGAAAATTGACTCAACTTTGGTTGCCATCACAGAGACGAACCTAAAGATCTTCTTTCCCTTTATGTGGTCTTAGTTTTGGTCACATTCACAATTGGGATCCTAACCCTGATTCTATCCCCAGACACTTTGTTACCCATAGTTTGCTGGCATCATTAGACCTTCTATCTTCACATAGTTTACATTTAAAGTGTTTATAAGCTGTCTAACTCCAAGTGCCTCCAGATGGCTTACAATTAAAAGCAAGACCAAAAATATATATATACAACTATGAAATTATAAGCAACCCAAAGCAAACATATAAACCCAAATCCCCCATTAAAGGGGGCTCAGCCACCTATCCCTCTGCCCCCAAGACTGGGAGGACAGCCAGGTCCCTGTGTTCTAGTCATGCTTACGCAGGAGAGGGGTCGATAGACAAACACTGTACCCCAAAACCTTGAGTAGGAGCGAGAGGGAATCTTAGCGATCCGTAGCACAGAAAAAACAAAAGGGCTTTGTCTTCACGCAGGTGCCTTCTGTGAAGGGTCTCCGGAAATGCTGATGAAGACCGTCTTTGGGTCTGAAAGCCAAAGATTTAGCTCAATCTCTGGGGGAAATATGTTCCTCCCTGCCTGCTGCTAGGAATTCTTCCAGAAGAGGCCAACCAAACACAGTCATTTGTACAGCAGGTACGAACGGGGAAATGTTGGGAACAGGCGACTCTTAACGGCTTGAGGGGAGGCGGATCTGAAGCTCTGGGGTTCAAGGGAGGTGGGGGAGTGGTGAGTCTGTGTCCTGCCTGAGGGCTCCTAGGGAAGGACTTGGTTGGCCTCTGGGAGAAGCCAGCTTCTGGACCACATAAGGCTCTTCTTCAGAGTTTAAAAGATAGCTTTGACTCCAGGAACGGATTCAAAGGAATGCAAGCAACAGGAACGGCCACTGACCTGCAACACTTCCTCCTGTTCTGTTGATGTTCCCTTTGTTCACAGCTCTGCTGCTATGGCAGCCAGGGAATCTTAAGCAAACAAACCTAGAACATCTGCAGCTCTCTGACAGGTCCTGACAGGAGACCGGCTGCAGGTTCCCCCTGAGCTCCAACAAGCAAGATTTCAACAAGCTCATTAATCAAGAGAGGAGATGTGTTTGGATACTCCGAGGGGGAAAGGAACATCATGATTATTAGGAAACAATCCTAATAGATACTTAAATGAATAACAAGAGAGAGAAGTGGAGAGAAATAATAAGTGTGCATTACAAGCCCCGGCTCTCCTTAAGTTCAAGTCAACTCAAACAATGTGGCCAAGGGTTGGGATTCCATCTTCATCTTGAGATTGTTCTGCCCCCCCAAAAAAAGATCTAAAAAGTTCCTGAGAACGTGTCCCAGTGATCCAGCTCTTCTTTCCAAAGGATCGCTGCTTCTCTCCACTCGTCTACTTCCTCTTGCCAAAGATCCTGCTCCTCCTGAAAGATCTTCTGGATGGCCCCAAAGAGGTCCATGGTCTTTGTCCAAAGCTCTAGGTTTTGCTCCCAGATGGCTCTATTTCTCCCACTGGTGTTCTTGGAAATCTGCCGGAGCTTCTGCCAGGAGACCAGCAGCTTCTCTTTGCTCTTCTTGTTTCGCTTCTTCAGCATCTCAATGGCGCCTCGCAAAGCCGCTTCCCTTCTGAGGAAGTCCTGATCCTCCTGGTCCATCCTGACCCCCAGCCCCCATTGATCGGCCCCAAACCTATCGCAGGAAATGCAGGTGGCTCTACCAAGGATGGGAGAGGAATAAAATGGGTGAAACTCTGGCATTTCAAGGAACGTCCTTCCCTCTGTGCCCACAAAAGGCACAAAAAACACCCCTCAGCCACCTGGAAGAGGAGCAGGCCATGAAACAGATTGTGACATCAAGGGCTCTGAGGCAGATCAGGTCTGCCAGGGAGGTTTCTTCAACCCCTGGGCTCCCCCCCCCCTTGACACTGTTTGTTCCGTAACCCATTTGAGGGAGGGAGGAGGAAGGAAGGAGGGAGGGAGGGAAGGAAGGAAAAAGGGAGGGAGGGAGGAAGGAAGGAAGGAGGAATTATCCAAGGTGCGTACACAACTGCTGCTGCTCCTCTAAATGAGAAGGTCCTTTGGGAAATGGCCCCTCTCTGCCACTCCTTGGGTGTGAATGTGGGCGTATTACATCTGAGCCAGACACTTGCCTGCCTGCCTGCCTGCACTGCGGTGGCATTCATCACTTGTGGGTATTTACAGCTGCTAAATATTTCTCTCGGGAGGTTCATTTGATCCGTCTCCTCCTTACTATACCCTAGAAAGCTGTCACGGACTTGTTAGCCCTGGAAAGTGACAGCTGTTGACAGGTGTCACATTTAGTTGGTCTCTACCCAGCTGTTCCCAGCAGGTTCACCTCATCTTTCTTGTGCTCCAAAAGGAACAGAATTAGGGCAGCACAAAGCCAAAATGACTTTGTGGTCCTGGTTTGATCTGAGCCGTCGCCCTAACCCTCCCCTCTCTCCTTCCTTGGGAGCGAGGTCGCAGCTCCTGGGCTGCTATAAGTCGTCCTGCGTTGCAGGTGGGGAGAACATCTTTCTCCTCCTCCCAGGTATGTCCTGGGTGTGTTGGGGGATGCCGGCCGAGCTAGACCACAACCATGGGTGCCTGACAAGCCCACCTCAAAGGCGAAGAAAGGCCGCTAAGGATGCACCTGAGACTCACCTGCCTACCTGGTGAAACAGTTGAAAGCCCCACCCGGTTCCCACCTCTTGGGAATCTCCTCTTGGCTCAGGGATGGAGCCTTGAACAGACAGGAGAGGCTGGTAGCTGGGTGGATGGCAGGAAGACCGCCTCTGTTTCATAGAATCATGGGGCTGAAAGGGACCTTGGAGGTCCTCTAGTCCAACTCCCAGCTCAAGCAGGAGACATTTATGCTCCTAGGCATTTCAGACAAACGTGTTGTCCAATTTCTCCAGGTCGACCCTGGGAGGCCTACCAGCCAAGTGCAGCCCTTGCGGGATCTTCTGCCTTTGCACCTGCAGGCCCCCCTCCAACTGCTATTCTAGGTGTTAGGACATGCTGGGGTTCACTGCACAGGGCCTGCGGGGGCAGGAAGGCCTCTGGCTAAGAAAGGAGGGCTCCGTAATTTGTGCTCAGGGCTGAAATGTAGGGAAGAGGTTACCTGCGTTGGGTAATGAAACACCTGCAAGAAGACAACCGAGCTCCGAGGGCACCAAGGACCCCTGCAAGGAGGCCTCCCCCTTGCTGCCTGCTCCCAGGACCAAGCGATGGTCCTTCCCCGCATGGATGTGGCTCTTGTGCTGCAGTCCTGGATCGACCAGCCCTCCTGCTTCCTCACCGGAAGTCCCGTCGCTCTCTCTCTCTCTGCCCCTTTCCATCGGCTTAACTTTCTTTCCTCCCTCTCTTTTTTGCCTACTCCAAATAATGATAATCATATGAAATCCAGCTAGTAAATTCAGGAAAGGAACTTGTGTGGCTTTCTTTGTATTCTTGCTGCTTGGACTTTGCGAGAGTTTATGAGATGCGACAAAAGGCATTTGCGGTGGTGCAGAGCACTAAATTAAAATCCAGTTGTAAGCAATTTGCTTGCAAATAAGGATGTGGCATTCTTGGCTGGCACCCAACGTTATTAAGGAAAAGGGTGTGTGGTTTCCTTATGAAGTCAACGTCTCGCCACACAGGCAGTCTTTCTTTCTGTTTAATTCTCCACGGCATCCATTGTTGCAGCGACAATGAGGTGGCCGTGCCTGGAAAACAGAGAAGGCAACCCAAGATCTTTGGATGGGTTCAGACGACGCCTTCAACCAGGTCAGTGATTGCAGATAGACAATGAAACTGGTTTGCTGTTGACTTGGTTAGGCTTACCTGGCTTTGCAAGACCAGCTTCTTGGGTCTGTGGGAGGTCATCATCCTGGGCCAAACCAGGAGATGTGACCATTTAATTACCAGGAATATCTGGTATAAACCAGCACTTCTCTTCTGCCCTGGGTTGTATCCAATCCAGCTGAAGGAACTTCTCTTCTGCTCTGGTCTCAAAGCCTCAAAGAGTCCAGGATTGAACAAGGATGGACAATTTACTTTGGTGTCTTGGCAACCACTGGGGTAGTTCCAGCCATCATTTCCTTACAGGGTCCTCTGGGAGAGGATGACGAAGGAGAACAGCAGCCACTATCAAGACAAGACCAAGAGAGGTTCCAAAGAATCCATGGTTCCCTCTGCAGTGGTGCTGCCTCCTCCTCCTCCTCCTCCTCCTCCTCCTCCTCTCTTGGCTCAATGAGGATTTTGGCCAATTAAAGGAGATTGTTGTTAGAAATTGCACAGCCTGGAGCTTTAGCTTGAGAGAGCAAATCAATACAGAGCTTTTAAATTAACAAAGCCAAAGAAAGACACCCATGGAGAATCGGCTCTTGGACATTTAACTGGGAATTGGCTCGGTTAAGATGTTGCCATCCAGAAATACTAGACTTCGAGCAAAATAAGCAAAGGTTTGCGAAGAGCAGAGATAAACTTGTAGGGGATAAACTTTAAGGGTCTATCGATTAGTGGGGAGGGAACGTTTTCTGCTGGCAGCCCCAATTTGGAAAGGACTTTCTCAAGGAGACCCTCCTAATTCTGACTTGTTTGCACCAAGGAAAACATGGTTATTTTTTCCTGGACTTTGACGGTAGCACAGTAGGCTAATATGTTATTATCTATTATGCAAATACATCAACCTTTGAACACTGCATGGACCTTTTTTTGCTGCTTTTATTGTTTAGGTGTGCAATGTCCTTATTCAGATTTCTGTTATTTGTATTGGTGTACAGTAGGTTGTCCTGGAAATTTCTGGCTAAAGGAAAGTGGAACCTCCCCGTAAGAGCCTCTTGAACCCCCAAATGTCTTCGGGAACTCAATGCACTGGTGGAGGGGACTATGATAGAACCCCAAGTTTTATCCAGTCACCAGGATTTAGAGCAGCAGCGGAGCCTCCCAGGCTGGAGGAAACATCTCATGACGGGACCTGGCCAGCCTCCCCCTGCCAGGACGAAAAAGAAGCTGTGGGGGGAAGGGAGGGCATTTCAGCAGGCCCACTTCAGAAGAAGAAACAAGGGAAGGGTTAGGTAAAACAGCAGGGAAGAAATGTGAGGTGGGGGGGAAGCCCACATTTTCTTCATTTCCTTGAATTTTTGTAGGAGTTGCAACATTCGGTGGCTGAACTCTGCAACCTGCAGATCTGAAAGAATTCCCATCAGGACTGGCAGGACTTGCCTGACATGAGGCTCCCTCCCCGCTTTCTCCTTGCCTTTGCCTCTTGCAAGGGAGGAGAGAGCTTGATTGACATGGGGTATGGATGGGGGGGGAATAGAAAAAGATACACCAGCACCACCCCCACCCCACTCCCTGTGTAAATTGAGAGCTCCGTGTATAAATGCAGCCGTTGGTTTCCTCTCTCCAACCACCGGGGAGGATCATCACTGCAACTCAACCATCGGATGGGCTTGTTGTAAGAGCTGGGGGGGGGGTAGAGAATCCCACGGATGCTCCCGGCAGACCTTTGGGCAAGAAAAACCTCTTGCAAGAAGATTTGGCTTCATTGCCACCTGCCTTCTCCAGAACGTCCACCAGTGATGTTTAAACGCTCGTCATTTTCCACTGCATAAAATGGACAGCTGGATAAATGGGGAAACGGGGGGAGGCAGAGCCTGACTTGGGCGGTTTCTATGTTGCTGAAGCAAGCATCTTTGGAGTCTTCCAGAGACTCACAAAATTGGTTTCATGTTTTTCTACCTCTCTCCTCATACTTGGATTCTTACCCCCCACCCACCCACCCTTTTCCCGTTATTGTCTGGAGTTCCCGGCAACATGATTTATTCCGTGGCCACCTAGAAAAGAGAATAATAGGTTTCCAAAGAAAATGGAGATTTGATTTCCACTTGGGGAAGACAGCGGTTTTGTCATCTCTCTCTCTCTCTCTCTCTCAAATTATCCCCCCCCCCAATTTGTTATCTAATTATCTATTCCAACACCAAGGTTGCTCAGCCTTCCGAGTTGTAATCAGATGCTTAACCAGCTGTGCAGCCGTTCTCCACCGTCTGAAACCACCAGCCTATGAAGTCCTCACTCTTTGGGGCACAATTACTCCACAGGCTGCAGAAAGAAATTGGCGAGATCCACGTCCTAAAGAGACCCGACTCAGATGACCACCATCTGACTGCACGATTTTGCTTCCTGTCTTTCCATCTGTTCCAGTTGAAGCTCCCCTTCCTGGGGGCTGGGCAGTGGGGAGGGGGAGCGGCATTGCAGAGACGCCGCTTGGAAGCTCACGCCTTCCTTGCTTTCACTGTGGTCCGTCCTCATCCATTTCTCTTGCTTAAAACTGAACCAACCCTGAAATAACACGTTGGGTTGGCTTCCATCCTTTTCAGGTCAGACATCCGAGTTGAAAGAACTGAAAGTCAAACATTTTCCGTTTATTGAAAATAAAAGAGTTTCGGAAGGATGAAAGATCAGCAGATCTAAATAGATCTGCCATCCCCTTGAGATTCCCCTCTTGGAAAGTGGGTGCCCTTCTTCTGAAGACGGTATCGACTGGACTTGCTCGTGCATGGTCCTTTCTTGACGGCCAGGGCAATTCAGCTGGAATGGAACATGGAAGGTCCCGTTTGGAATCTTCCTTCATTGAGACCTTCTCTCCAGACCCCATTTTCATTGTT